CCCCCCCCCTCAACTAACACCCGTCGGAACAGACTCTTCTTCGGCAAAACCAAAGTCATGGCCGTCGCGCTGGGCCACACGCCCGAGAACGAAGCCGCGGAGAACCTGCACAAGCTGGCGCCGACGCTGACGGGCGCCGTCGGCCTCCTGTTCACCTCGCGCGACCCGGCCTCGGTAACGGACTACTTTGACGGCTTCCGCCCCCTGGACTACGCTCGCGCGGGCACGGTCAGCACGCGCGCCTTCACCATCCCCAACGGGCTGGTGTACTCGCGGGCCGGGGAGATCCCGGCCTCGGAGGACGAGCCTGTCAGCCACACGATCGAGCCCGAGCTCCGCAAGCTGGGCGTGCCCACCCGCCTCGTCAAGGGCAAGGTCATGCTGGAGCTGACCGACGACCAGGAGGGGTACCCCGTGTGCCGGGCCGGCGAGGTGCTGGACTCGCGGCAGACGACGCTGCTCAAGATGTTCGGCGTCGTCTCGTCGGAGTTCCGGGTCGCCTTGAAGGCGCACTGGACCCGGAGTACGAATGAGGTCGAGCTGTTGGAGAAGGATGGGGATGGCATGGAGGAGTAAAGAAACAAGAAATGTTGTGATGACAACACCAGACACAAAAAAAAGCAATGAACAACTCCCAAGATTTATCATGTTTTTTTCTTTTCCAAAGGTCTGCGGGGCGGGTCTCTTTCATATACACCTTTTTTTTTTTTTGTTTCTGTTTTTCTCATCTAGAAAAGTTTCATTCCTTTATTTATGATACTTATTCAATTACCCCTCCCCGCCCGTGTATAGAGACTGAAGAATAGAAATTAAGTGCATCATGGAGTATCGGATTAGAGCGGTCAAGGTTGGTTTGGTGACGGCGCACGAGGAGGACAGACACACTGCGCAGTGCCTTCAATTCCAACGGGCCGAACTTAAGCCAAATGAGGAAGTAAATTATTCTGCCCGCGGCCAGTAGCCAGCCTGATCTTAGGGTCTAGACCTTTCAAATCCTCCCACCATGGCTCCCCGGACCTACACGCAAGAATACTACAATAAACAATTTTGATGGCGAAAACCTATTGCTACTATCCACCATACCCTGACGCAACTAACGAATCATTACCTTAATTTTTACCTCTGTGAGAAGATCCCTGGTATCGGTCATTGCTGATGGAGAACCCTACCTGATCTTCTTACCTGAACGTCCCAAGTCCCGACCCAACCACGATTCCGCCTGAAGAAAATGTTGAATATCTAACGTACATACTTACCCCACAATGAGAGAGCAACGGCCGTAGTAAAGCCCAGGAACAACATAAAGCACAAAGGACATGAATGTTAATGAAGACACGAGAGAGAAAGAGAAGGGAGCTGAGTATGACGAGCATGAATAGGAATTTGCGAAGCGTCTGATGCGGGAGTAGACATCGATCGACTTGATGTGAATGAGACGTCTGCTGGCGCTGCTGGGAATACCTCCTGACAGATGTTATGGGAAGATGTTGTGACGTTCGACACTCGTAGGGAACTGCCTAGTAGGTTGTCTGACTGGCTCATGGACGCCCAAGCTCTCATGATCTGAGACGGTATCGGCTGGCCTTACCCTTGTCGACGCGGGAGGACGAGAAAGGAGAGCAATCAGAAATACCCACCACCAAACGGTCATTGGATACTAAAATGAAGAAGCCCGCCGCCAAAGCATTTCAGTACCTTCTCTTGGCGCGGGGGTCGTCGTACGAGTCGTCCTCGTGGTATCTCTTGCGCCCGTAGTCATCGCCACGGCTTCCATATCTATCGCGCTCGCGCTCGCGGTCACGGTCACGGTCGCGGTAGCTACCACGATGACTGTCCCGATCACGGTCTCTGTAGCGGTCACCACCCTCACGGTCACGATCCCGGTCTCGGCGGTCGCGATCACCGAAACTGTCCCGGGGTCTGATGGGTTCACGGTTGCTACCAGTGCCTCCCCGGTCTTCACGACCACCAAACCTGCCACCTCCACCGGGGCCACCGGGGCCACCGGGGCCACCAAAGCCACCACTGCGTCCACCTCCGGGACCCGAGGGAGCATTGGGGGGAGCTTGTCCGCCGAAGCCATTACGGCCTCCTTGGTATCCGACACCACCGCGAGGACCGAAGCCACGATCGTTACGGAAGCCTCCCCGGCCGCCTCTGCCACCGCCAAACCCACCTCGGAAACCACCTCCAAAGCCACCGGGGCCTGAAGGGGCGTTGAAAGATCCAGGTCCAATGGGCCGAGAAGGCAGAGCTTTGGTGTAACCTCGTCCTCCAAGACCACCGCCAAAGCGACGGGGTTTCCAGCCCTTGACAGTCCGACCACGCTCAACATCTACCAGAACCCGGCGATCCTTGATGCGAATACCATCTGTCTCTTTGTAGGCCGCTGAAAATTCGTCAAGAAAAAAACACTAGGTTAGCAATCAAGTAGCACGGGAGATCATTACACCGGGAGTAGTCATCCGGGGGTAATCGGCGACTAGATCTGTAGCAATACCTTTCATGTCCTTTTCGCGCTCATACACGATGAAAGCATATCCTCTATGCGCTTTCTTCGAACCCTTTGGTGTTACAGTGTCCTTGACGATGCGAATCTACTGATGGTCAGTTTGGCTAATCCTATAAACCGCGACCGGGAGTCTCTGGTGACCATACTCTCTCAATCGGGCCAAAGCGGCCGAACTCCCGCTCCAAGTCCGACTCCTTGACATCGTAGCTCAGTCTGGCAACGAAAAGGGTCCTGAACGGGTCTCCACGAGCTTGTTGGTCATTCGACGGATCATCTGTGGCGCGCAAAAGGATATCAGCAAAACTGGCGGTTCACAAAACATCGAGAGGTAAATAAGGAGAAAGATGCATACATTCTTCGAGCCCTTCTGTGACTTGCTTCTCCATGTTTTCCTTCTTCTCCACCTTCTGTCGCAACTTGCGCTGAATCCAGCTCTCTGTGGCATTGTAGGGGACCTCCTCTTCATACTGCTTCAGATCAGGCAGGAATTGCGCAATCCCGCCGATAGAACTCTTCTTGCAGTCTTCGGGGGCCCGGTTGATAGGCGTGACATAGCGGAGGGGCGGGCGAGGCTGGAACAGCGCCAGAAGCGGAGGGGGGAGCTTGTCCGTCATGTTGCGCCCTTGTCAGGTCACAAGAGGTTTCGGATGCGGGAGAATTCTCTAGTCTATTATTGCCTGGCGAAAAGCATCCAAATGGCTGGGATTATGTCAGGTGTGGTTGAAGGATTTGAAATTCCCTCTTCTTTGAATCTCGACCTTCTGTGGGTGAGGTGAGATGAGATGAGATAAGTGTTGAAGCTCGCCGGGGAAGTAGTGTTGGAAGCGAGTTTCGCGTCGTCGTCGTTGTCGTCCCGTCTTTCCACGGGCTCCCGCTAGTACCAGGTTGAGTGGTCTTGGCACCGGTCGAGAACCGCCTAGTCGCGGTAGCCGAGTTTACCGCCCTGGCCAATGATGGGCGGAGATTCTCGGGTGCGCCGCGCCGCTGAAAAGTCCCCGACCAGAGTGTCTGGAGATAGAAGTGTGGGAAGTCGTTTCGACCAGCAAACTAAGACAACAGAGACATATACAGCACCATGCCTGTCCAAGGGATTCGGACGGTGACGACCGCCAGAGTATGCTCTATTTCTTGCTTTGGGTCCCTGATGTATCCTCAAGAATTGGACTAACGCGCTTGTTCAGAACGGTGTCGGAGCCTTTATCCTACAATGCAAGCAGCTGGACTTCCACTACTGCGACTGGGCTGGTAGCTCTCGCGGCATGGTGTATGTCTCTTCCCAAGTACCCAGTCTCGGGTGACTTGAGCGGTATAGACTGACGGTTTCCAACCCCTACACAGTTCCTTCCTCAAGCACCACCTCCCCTCTTTCGCCAAAGCCAACCCCCAGATCGAGATCCGAGTATCGCCCCGGCCACACAAGCACCCCGTCATCAAGGGACACTACATCAACGGCCGCGAGAAGGCGATCTGTGTCCGCAACCTCGAGCCCGAGCAGATCTTCAACAAGGCGAATCTGCTGAAGGCGGCCAGCGGCGAGAAGACGAAGCGCACCAAGAAGCCTATTACGAGTCTTAACGAGAGTGTTAGAGGTATCTGGGACCCTTTCCACGGCGGCTTCAAGTCGGTGTAAGTGGAAAGTGGGGTATATGGTTACTGCAGTGGTGTTACAATTTGGAAACTCTTTTCTTTGGTTTATTCATTATGGGCTAGCTCTTTTCATGCGTCTGCATTCCCTCTCCCGCGGGGGGATCCCCCAACGTGGTTCTGTCTTGGAATCGGATATGTATCATATGTACAAATTGCTTTATGAATTGTTCTACGGGTATGTGCTATGTTGGAGAAGCGTCATCAAAGTATGTTGGAACAATATTATTATCCACATGTATATGCAAGGCCAATGCATATCGTACCCGGACCAGAATGCCTAAGATCGATATCGACAAGAAACATGGTGTATCCCTTCGACCAAACCGGAAGGGGGGAATGAGCATTAAAAATGAAAAGAAAATGGGGTATCCTGATGCAACGTAGTCATATGAGAATGTGAAAGAAGCCTCGCAGTTTAACGCCAGCAACATGCAACCAATTTCAAACCTGTTCCCATGACTCCCAAATCCTGTAAATGCAGAAAGATGGACAATGGGCTAGAGGTAGATTTGAAGCATGGCTTTGTGTGAGCTAACCGGCTTGCCACACTCCGGCACCTGACAGACAGAAAATGGCTTCGTGGCGGACGACTTTTTTGATTTGGCCTTGGAGCGGTGATGGGCACAACGGCCACAATATACCTGTGCACGTTAGCAGTGGCCTTGCAATGGTCTAAGTGAAAGACGAAGGTTGCGTACATGTCCACATTGCTTTGCTACCCATATTTGCTGCCTAATCTCGTCGCCAACGCCCAGCTCCCCGTCGCAGTTGGGGCATACCACAACATCATCCTCTTCGAGCGTCCTTGTGAATCCATCCGGTGGCGGGCTCGGCGGCTTGTAAGCGTTCGCTGGGGGTCTTTCAGGTCTTCTCATGTCAGGTCTTCTCATGTCGAAATTGAACGTCAGATCAATAGCGCCCGCTGGATGCTCTCCGATATATGAAACGTCTACATCTTGCGGCCGCAAGACTCGATGTCGTGCGGGAAACCTGCTCTGTGACATGTTGAAAATTCTAAATAACTGCGGTGCCCATTCTGGAATCGTCGAGGGTGGAGGAGGTCGTGACGGCCGAGCGGTAGCAGCAATAAACTGTACCTCCGGGCTGCTGGGAGGTTCATCTTGAGTTAAGTCTTCATAGTCTTCTTCCAGATCCACCACTTCCGGGACCCTCGATTGTGAGGTTTGTGTAGAGTGATCTTGGTGGGTATTCCGAACATCTTGAGTTGCGTTGGGCTCGGGAGGATCTGAGTCCAAGGTCAAGTCGATGACATCTTCTGCGTTGGGGGTCGCCGATGAAATGGGCCGACGGAAGTCAAAGCCATCTCCGGGATACCGCCGTCGTGGTGGCGAGGGCGGAGGAAGCGTTCTGGATGATGAAGATTCGCCGCCGGGAAATTGTGGAGGTGTAGCTCTTGCTATTTCATGATGCGGTCGCTGCATAGAAGGTCAGTTCAAGTCATCGACGATTAGACGATGGGTGTACCCCGCCTGAGGGGAAGGATTGAGGGCATGCGGCAAAATGAGCGGACTAGCGGGGAGAGAAGGAAACTACCAACCTTCCTTGGCCGAGAAGTCACAAATTGAACACCTGAATCGTCACTCATGCTGGGCATCCGATTAAAAAGTAAACGGCAGATGTAGCCCCAAGTGAGGGGAACGGGAGAAAGGAAGAGAGGGGAGAGGGGAGAGAAATGTTGAGAGAAGAGAGGGAGGTTGTTTATCAAAGAAAGGCCGAGGCGGAGTTTAGGCCTCATTGCCGGCGGTAGACGGTGGAGGCCATAATGTTGCTTAGTAGGCAGTGGAGGTGAAGGACGGAGAGAGGTTAAGAGGTTCATTTCAATGGTAGTAATCCTAATTTTGGCTGGGTCCCGGCATACCGGCTCCCTTGGGTTTCTTTCCCTCCGTGCAGCCAACAAGTGGTTGAACCGTGGTGGTGATTAATCAGATTAATCAAGGGTTGGATAGTTAAGTTGAGTTCTGTACAGTAACTTACATTTACTTACTGTATGTAACCGGTGACGCTGCCGATGACCTCTTTCAGCCGGGAGTTTGCCCGCTCCACCAACAACTGGCCAAATATAGGTGACAACTCGGTTTTGTTTCTACACGTAATCAGGCACCATCAACACCATCAACACTTCTTTCTTTCTGTTTATCCTGTTTCGTTGAAATCTAATGATCCGGTTCATGGTCTGGCTCAGTGGGATGGGGAAAAAAACAAAACATGAAAGAAAAAGAGAATCCAAGCAGAGACGCCATTCACGAATAATCAAATGAAACCACAGCCAGCTAGAATTACAGGATAATCATTGTTGATTTTCGATCCAATTTCACCAGGTATCAAACAGAATTACTGTGCGGTAAGCTCCGTCACACCTCCCTCGGTATTCAGCGCCACAATGCTCTGAGCAGCAGAGCCCCAGACCGCTGCCACCGCGGGTACGGCGCTCCGCAGGGACTCCGACCACGATTTGGCCGCCTTGGAGTACTGGTTCACCGTCAACCCGCTGGGTCCGGCCGTGAGCAGGAATTGTCCGGTGTAGTCCCAGTTGATGGAATCAACCTGGCTGCCTGTCTCGATCACCTTGACCTCTTGACCGTTGCGAAGATCCCAGATAGACACAGTGGTGGAGCTCTCAGCCACGGCAGCCAAGAAAGTACCATTCTCGGAGAAGAAGAGACCCTTGACAGGGGCGGACATGGCAAAGCTCGCGGCGGCAGCACCGGTCTTGACATCGAAAATCTTGATTTGGCCATCCTGACCACCAGCAGCAAGGAGGTGGCCATCAGGGTGAAAGTGAATGGAAAGGAGGGCTAGATCAAGCATCGAGCGTTAGTCGGATTCCGCACAGTAAGGGATTTCCAAAGGGCTGCTTACAAGCATCGCTAAAGATCTGGGTGATGACGGAGTTCGTCGTCAAGTCATACAGCACGTAGCTCTTGTCGGCACCAACAGAAGCGACGATGTCGCCAGTGGCATGTACAGCCACAGCCGTTGCGGCTCCAGCGTGAGAGTTGAAGTTCGCGATCTCGGCTCCATTCTCGAAAACTTTGACAGAGCCCGTAGACGAAGCAATGATAGCCTTCTCACCAGCCCACGCAGCACTAGTAATGGGTCCACTCGCTGGCAAGGCTTGAACAACCTGTTTCTGAGACACGGAGTACACACTGGCGGTACCGTCTGCGCCGCCGACGATAGCCAACTCTCCGGACGAGTTGACAGACAACGTCTTTGCGCCGGGCTGGAGAGTCTCGGAGGTTTGGGTAGGCTTGAAGGCGGAGATCGCTTCACTCGTAGCCCAGCCCTCGGGGATGGGACGCTTGCGACGGGTCTTGGAGAGCCTGTTTGCAAGCGAGTCAGCAGCGGGCTCCTGCCAGTTGGTCATGGCACGGAAGACTTACGCAGCCTGTGTACTTTCCACGCGAGCGAGGACTGTTTCGGGCAGACCGGTCGAATCCACCTGCATAGCCTCGCCAGCGCCCTTGGCACTGACAGTAACCTTAGATAGTGCATCGCGGGCTTCGTCCCTTTCTTTCGTCAACCGAGCAATCACCCGAACGGCGGCATCGTGCTGGTAGAGCGCCGCGCTCAATTCCTGCCGGGTCTGTGCCAGAGTTTGTCGTAGCGTGTAGGTCTCAAGAGCCAGGGCATCCCACTCCTCCTGGAAGACGCTGAGCAATGAGGGGATCGAGGTGAGGGTGGGAGGTCTAGGCCGGACAACGCGCTGGGACTTGACTTCGATGAGTTCGTCTGCGGCAAGCTCCTCCCCATTGACGGGATCCTTGCCGTTCTCGGCAATGTACGCCTCGATGAGTCGCTTCTCGAAGACACTGCCTGCTGAGACGTCAGATACGAGTAGGTCGCATTGATGCGCACGCGAGAGGTTGCAACGTACCGCTCTTGGGCGAGACGACGGGCACTTGTGGTGCCTCTCCTGAGACTATTGGCAGTTTTTCGTTAGCAC